ATTAGAATGTAATCGATTTAACTGGTGGTACGGCCGTCGTTCAAAAACCATGTCAGTAGATGTTTAGGACGATGCTGAAAGCATGTGTTGGTAACAAACAATTGGTTATGTTCAGCAAACTGCAGCATCCTCTCATCATTGTCCGTTCGAGAGCCAAGCCCAAAACGACCAAGAAGTTGGCTCTTTGACGGGTCACCAGGCCCAGACCGGCCATTCCAGCCCCCAGCAACAATTAACAGATCACGCCGGGAAAGTCTTCCTAATAGCTCCTGCAACTGCAGCTAGAAATTTCCTCGTCTTACTGTTCGGCCGCTGACATTGATGCATACGCAGAGACGACAGAGATGTACGTAAAATGACCCTTTGGCCGGACGTAAGCCATCCGGTCGTTGACTGGTTCCCATGCCTGTAGTGCACCGTTTGCTTGATCTGAGAGGACAATATCCACACCGTGTCTACCAGATGAGTCACGTGGGCCCTGCGATACAGGGTGAGGTGAGAATCGACTCCTGGCATTTCTATTTCTCGGGCACCTGAGTCGAGGAGTCGGATTTCGGACAGGCAGCAAATGACCATGTGCTATTCATGGAGACTACGCGCCGTCAGACTTCGACTACCACGTTCCAGAAGTGTTCGCACATTTCAGCATCCAATACCAAGAGTCCGTTTTCGGTTCAGTAGTCCAGCTTGTATATTATTCGCCCGCACCACTGGACAAGGGTTGCGGAGCGCGTCAGGTCTCGCAGATGCCGTAGCATGGGTGAATAAACATGTAATGAGGTTTCTTGGAATATTGAATACAGGTGAGTCCCTAACAACCGCTCGGATTCTCTGTTCGAGATTGTCTCCCCTAGCATTTCAGTTCAATAACTTAACCATAAAGCAGTGGTGGCAAGCAAACCTATTTAATGGCGGTTCACGCTCGCCATGTCACAGTGTCGGCATTGAGACTTGCGGCATTTTATAAGGCAGTCGGTGCACCAAATCCCAACCTTCCGCGCCCTGGTAACACTGTCGCTGCTGTGTCCGTGACTGTTTATTCGCCAGACCCGGCATCCTGCTTATTTCGCAGCTAACCTTCACTGAATGCGGTGTCTCTATCCACCACATATGGATGCGCCAGGTACCCAGCAGCTGGGATAACGGGAAAGCTGCTCCCCGACCGCATTTTAAATGATTAAACCAGCGTTTTAGAGTTTTCGATTTCCTTGTACGAATTGCTGATGTCGCACATTCGATAAATGACGCTTAGAACCACCGACCATCTTATTTAACGCTGACAGCGCATTCATTTGATTGCTGTCTGGGTAGCCCTGTATTTGCCCGACCACGTCAATCGTCTAAATTTCCCAGAGACAGTGCAGCACGAAATGGCAACACCTGAAGTAAGCCTTATTTCTGACGTCATTTCCATGGTTCGTATGGGTGCTATACAATGGCCCATCCATGGACACACTGCAGTAGCCTACGCCATTGCATTATTGATTTTCCTACGATTTAAAATGTTAACTGTTAGTTGTTTTTGCATTCACTTTTCCCTATGTCTGAAGACGAAGCGGGGTCTCCAGCTTCGAAAATTCACAAAATAAAAATTCGTTTTCCCGAAGAACTTCTTGAACCTCAAACTATATTACCTGGGATGCCTACATTTCAACTTAAACCTCCTCTTGTCGACACAATCACATACGACATTGTCATGTGCCAAATCCTGTCTAACGCACAGTAAAATTGGCCTTATTCCAAAGTAAATGGAATTAGACATTTGCCAAACACGGGGTTGCGTAGGTGTGCAACGTTCCATCCAAGATAAAACCCTTGTTTCCCCATGCTGTTAGGGTGATGCCTTATCGTGCTCATACAACTTTTTAAAGGATATATATCATGTTGTATAATTTCAAAGCAACGGTACTAGCGCAAAGAACACTTTTTCATAAAAGGAAAGTTCAGAATCCTACACTAATCGTACAAACGCAAGTTTTTTTAAATTAAATACTACCCTGTTGCCAGTGCAAACCCTGAAGATGTCACAATTCGCTATCGAAGAATAGCAGTAAAGAATATTTTTGCACAAAATTTCAATACAAGATATTCAAATTAACATGATGGCCAAACACATAACGGAACGATTCGTAATTTAAGTGTATTTTTTGTTGATGGCATCATTTTTTAAAACCGGCATTCTTATATGGCGGAAATGTGTTGGGGTTATGCTGCATTTTAAACAACGTAACAAATCAGGTGTTCTTTTCGAGTCGAAGATACATTTCGGATTTTTGATCGAAATTCCGATGGATAGCGCATTTATCACACTTCTAAAACTTGTATTTTCTCGCTTTATACACATTTGCACGCTTTCGCTATCATCATGAAAATTGTTGTTCCGGTGAGGTTGTCTCTAGCGGTCTTTTTTGGGTCCTTATGTATTATAGCT